TCAACAAAATACTAGTAAACAGAATCCAGCAGCACATTAAAAGGATCATACACCATGATCAAGTGGGGTTTATCCCTGGAATGCAAGGATTCTTCAATATACACAAATCAATCAATGTGTTACACCATACTAACAAACTGAAGGATAAAAACCATATTATAATCTCAATTGATGCAGAAAAAGCTTTCAATAAAATTCAACACCCATTTATGATAAAAACTCTCCGGGAAGTAGGCATAGAGGGAACTTACCTCAACATAATAAAGGTCATATCTGACAAACCCACAGCCAACATCGCTCTCAGTGGTGAAAAACTGAAACCATTTCCACTGAGATCAGGAAGAAGACAAGGTTGTTCACTCTCACCACTATTATTCAATATAGTTTTGGAAGTTTTAGCCACAGCAATCAGAGATGCAAAAGAAACAAAAGGGGGCTTCCCTGGTGGCGCAGTGGTTGAGAGTCCGCCTGCCGATGCAGGGGACACGAGTTCGTGCCCCGGTCTGGGAAGATCCCACATGCTGTGGAGCGGCTGGGCCCGTGAGTCATGGCCACTGAGCCTGTGCATCCGGAGCCTGTGCTCCGCAATGGGAGAGACCACAACAGTGAGAGGTCCGCATACCGCAAAAAAAAAAAAAAAAAGAAACAAAAGGAATCCAAATCGGAAAAGAAGAAGTAAAACTGTCACTGTTTGCAGATGACGTGATACCATACATAGAGAATCCTAAAGATGCTACCAGAAAACTACTAGAGCTAATCAATGAATTTGGTAAAGTAGCAGGATACAAAATTAATGCACAGAAATCTCTTGCATTCCTATACCCTAATGATGAAAAATCTGAAAGAGAAATTAAGGAAACACTCCCATTTACCACTGCAACAAAAAGAATAAAATACCTAGGAATAAACCTACCTGAAGAGACAAAAGACCTTTATGCAGAAAACTATAAGACACGGATGAAAGAAATCAAAGATGATACAAACAGATGGAAAGATACACCATGTTCTTGGATTGGAAGAAACAACACTGTGAAAATGACTATACTACCCAAAGCAATCTACAGTTTCAATGCAATCCCTATCAAACTACCACTGGCATTTTTCACAGAACTAGAACCCAAAATTTCACAATTTGTATGGAAACACAAAAAACTCTGAATAGCCAAAGTAATCTTGAGAAAGAAAAACAGAGCTGGAGGAAGCAGGCTCCCTGACTTCAGACTATACTCAAAGCTACAGTAATCAAGACAGTATGGTACTGGCACAAAAACAGAAATATAGATCAGTGGAACAGGATAGAAAACCCAGAGAAAAACCCATGCACATATGGTCACCTTATCTTTGATAAAGAAGGCAAGAATATACAATGGAGAAAAGACAGCACCTTCAATAACTGGTGCTGGGAAAACTGGACAGCTACATGTAAAAGAATGAAATTAGAACACTCCCTAACACCATACACAAAAATAAACTCAAAATGGATTCGAGAACTAAATGTAAGACTGGACACTATAAAACTCTTAGAGGAAAACATAGGAAGAACACTCTTTGACGTAAATCACAGCAAGATCTTTTTTGATCCACCTCCTAGAGTAATGGAAATAAAAACAAAAATAAACAAATGGGACCTAATGTAACTTAAAAGCTTTTGCACAGCAAAGGAAACCATAAACAAGACCAAAAGACAACCCTCAGAATGGGAGAAAATATTTTCCAACTAAGCAACTGACAAAGGATTAATCTCCAAAATATACAAGCAGCTCATGCAGCTCAATATCAAAAAAACAAACAACCAAATCCAAAACTGGGCAGAAGACCTAAACAAACATTTCTCCAAAGAAAATATACAGATTGCCAACAAACACATGAAAGGATGCTCAACACCACTAATCATTAGAGAAATGCAAATCAAAACTACAATGAGGTATCACCTCACACTGGTCAGAAAGGCCATCATCAAAAAATCTACAAACAATAAATGCTGGAGAGGGTGTGGAGAAAAGGGAACCCTCTTGTGCTGTTGGTGGGAATGTAAATTGATACAGCCACAATGGAGAACAGTATGGAGGTTCCTTAAAAAACTAAAAATAGAACTACCATACTACCCAGCAATCCCACTACTGGGCATATACCCTGAGAAAACTATAATTCAAAAACAGTCATGGAGCAAAATGTTCATGGCAGCACTATTTACAATAGCCAGGACATGGAAGCAACCTAAGTGTCCATCGACAGATGAATGGATAAAGAAGATGTGGCACGTATATACAATGGGATATTACTCAGCTATAAAAAGAAACAAAATTGAGTTATTTGTAGTGAGGTGGATGGAGCTAGAGTCTGTGTCAGAAAGAGAAAAACAAATACTGTATGCTAACACATATATACGGAATCTAAAAAAAAAAAAAGGTTCTGAAGAACCTAGGGGCAGGACTGGAATGAAGACGCAGACGTAGAGAACGGACCTGAGGACACGGGGAGGGGGAAGCATAAGCTGAGACGAAGTGAGAGAATGGAATTGACATATATACACTACCAAATGTAAAACAGATAGCTAGTGGGAAGGAGCCGCATAGCACAGGGAGATCAGCTCGGTGCTTTGTGACCACCTAGAAGGGTGGGATAGGGACAGTGGGAGGGAGACACAAGAGGGAGGGGATATGGGGATATATGTATATGTATAGCTGATTCACTTTGTTATACAGCAGCAACTAACAGAACAATATAAAGCAATTACACTCCAATAAAGATGTTAAAAAAAAAAAAAAAGTGGCCCAAGAAAGATCCATTGTCCCTTCCACCATGTGAGGATACAATGAGAAGTCAGCAGTCTGCAACCCTAAAGAGGTTCCTCACCAGAACTCTACCATGCAGGCACCCTGATCTCAGACTTCCAGCCTCCAGAAATGCAGGAAATAAATGTCTATTGTTTATAAGCCACCTAGGCTATGGTGTTTTGTTACAGCAGGCCAAATGGACTAAGACATCTTCCAAGCTCATTTTTAACGCCTCACTTAAACATAAAAAGATAGCCAAGCATCACCAGACATTTGATAACAGTCTCTAACATGGAAGTCCACGACCAAAACAAATTTTTTTTAAAAGGAGCTTGAAAAAAGGAAATAATGTTGAGAGCAGAATATAACTCCATTTTTTAAAAAAAAGCATAATTCTTGAAGAGATAAGGGAAAATATTACATTCATGAAGCAAAAATAAAATGTCATAGAAGAAATAAAGAATAAGAGCACGCTTTTAGAGATTAAATATGTGGTTGAATATATTTAAAAATTGCATAGAAGATTTATAACATAAATGAAGAAACTTTTCAGAAAGCAGGACAGAGGAAAAATAGAAAATAGAAAGTAAAAAGTAAAATCAGAGGATTAGTTCAGGAGGACCATCATTCAATTAACAGGAGTTTCCAAAAAAGAGAAAGAGAATGTGGAAGGAGGAAATAATCAGTAATGAAAGCCATGAGTTTCCAGAATGACGCGGCCCACTGACTGCACAGTACGGTGAATGAAGCAAAGACACACACTCTAAGGTACATCACTGTTGAAATTTCAGAGAACTGGGGATTAAAACAAAAAAAATTAGGTCACACATAAACGATCAGGAATCCGAGTGGCAACAGACTTCTTAACAGCAACAGTGAATGCTAAAAGACAGCAGGAAAATGCCTTACCATTTCTAAGGAAAACATTTCCAATATAGAATTCTATATATAACGCAGCCAAGCTACCAATCAAATGTGAACAGAGAAAAGGCATTTTCACATATGTAAGATCTCAAAAAGTTTACCTTTCATAAACCCTTTCTCAGGAAACTACTGGAGAATACCAAGAAAGAATGAAATGAGATCAAGAAACATGGACTCTAACACAGAAAAGAGGTAAAAGAAACTTCCAAAATGAAACAAATGGAAGTTCTAATCTGACAGCTGAGTAGCAGACTTAGAGAAGAATTAGTACAGACTAGAGCATCAAGACAGAGGCCCTGGGAGGAATGGTTCTGGGGGCAGGGGGTGGTGATGAAAGAAAAAAGAGACTACCTTATATGTTTGAATATTTTGAGAGGAGTTTTATTATTTTATTGGATAATCTGAGTATTAATTAATGATAGGCAAGAAGAAAACCAAGCAAATGAAAAAGTGAGGCAGTTAACAATGCCAAGAAAAACAAAAAATTACATGAAGAAGGAACAATGTTCACAGCACACTACATGGCTCACCTATGAATATGTCATCATCACAATGTAAATATCAAATAATGATTCAACTAAACATATTTAAAGGATGTGGGAAGAGGAAGGGGAGGAAATGGCAATATTTTAAGAGATCATAAAATCTTCATCTTCCATTACTAAAGACAATTGACCTAAAACTAGAAAGTCAAGAAGTGGCAGCACAAGGGTTTTATTTAAAAGCACAAAGGTAGATACCAGAAGAGAGCTAAAATATTTGAAAGTAGTTGTTTCTAGAGGCAGGATCAAGGGCAAGTAGGAGCAGAGCAGGAAACTATTGCTCTTCATTATAAACCTTGTAGTACCACCTAAATTTAAAAAAAAAACAAAAACCTAACATATATATATACATATATATAAATACACACACACACACATATATATACATATGTGTGTGTGTGTGTATATATATATAGTGTGTGTGTTTGTGTGTTTGTATTAGCCTCTGATACTATGTGTAATGAGACTTCAATCTCTTGGCCAGGGGTTCTTAATTCAGGCTACTGTCACAATGATATATGGAGCTTTCCTTAAAAACAGAGTTATCTGGGCATCGTTTTAAGATTCTGCTTCACTAGATCTGGGGAAAGGCATGGGAATCTGTGTTTATTTGTTTGTTTTTTAATCTCAGAGGTGATTGTGATGTGCAGCCACGGTTCAGAACCCCTGTCCTAGGGTAATATGCTAAAAATATTAATAAAAAATTGGGACTGTAACCATAAACATTCATTTACTGTTATAAATTTTTTCAACTTACACTGTTAGGAATGATGCTATTACTGCCTTGTCTGTGTGGGTCCATCCTGACTCCTGTAGGAATGGGAAAGTTCAGACTGATATGCTCTAAATTAGCTTCAAGAAAATACATTACAATCAAATATTTTAAAAAGTTACATATTAAAGGTTTAAAAAGTTGTATATTTATCAAAGTTTACCTGTTTTCTTAATAGTCTGCTTAATAGTTGACTGAAATCCTTTTTGGAAGAACATATAAAATTAAATTTGCTTTTACTTTCCTTCCAAGTGCCTGTTAGTTAAAAATACTTTTGAAAGAAGCTGAAATATTTATGAAAACTAATTAAAACCATCTCCTGAAGTCAAGTAGCATGTCAGATTAAGAAAGTACATCAAAATGAACTCCAGAAAAAACATTCTACCCTACATGCCTATGTGTTCTACTACACCATAATGGTAATACAGTCAAGTTTCAGAGTTGAAACATATTTTTCAGGCAGGAAACATCATAGAATAAAATTTCTTAAACCAGGTCTAATCACAGGCTTTTCTACACTATCTCTTTTTCGTGAAGCATATGAGCACACACGCTTTAAGTGTGAAAATTATGTTACCTTGCATATTTGGTGTTGCTGAAGAATCTGATGACACAGCTTGGTACGGCAAGTCTGTATTCAACTGCAAAAGATAGCCTTCAACTGTAGGCACTTCATCCCATTTGACATGAAAAGAGTTGGTAGTGGCTTTGATCAGTTGTACTTGTGATGGTGCCGGTGGTTTCTCTAAAGAACAATATTGGTATTATGTATTAAAGTTTCAAATGTATCAATAGTTTGCCTATATAGCTTGTGGACCTGGAGTTCTGAAAACATCAGCAATGAACATTTCATCTGTTTACTAAGAGGAAAAAATTTACTCAGATAAACATAGCTATAGTAGGTCAAATGAAAATAATTTGGAGTTCTGATTTTATTTATCTAATTCCTTACATGAATAAATCTATAAACAAAATAATTCACTTCCAAGCTGAGTCATCAAATTTAAAAAAATATTTAATCCTAGAAGTGTGGGGAAAAACCAAGTACTTTATAGTTACAGCTATGCTATTTTACCTTCTTGGTAAGTTTTTAATTTTATGACCCAATTTTGAGCCAACAGCATACATGTCAGAAATACTGTTAACGTTAACAAAAATGATTTGGACATGATATTTTGGAAAAACTTCTTTGAAGTAACTTCTTTGAAGTTAATACCTTATCAAAACTTGTACTAACCAGGGCTTCCCTGGTGGCACAGTGGTTGAGAGTCCGCCTGCCGATGCAGGGGACACAGGTTCGCGCCCCAGTCCGGGAAGATCCCACATGCCGCGGAGCGGCTGGGCCCATGAGCCACGGCCGCTGAGCCACAGCCGCTGAGCCACGGCTGCTGAGCCTGCGCGTCCGGAGCCTTTGCTCCGCAATGGGAAAGGCCACAACAGTGAGAGGCCCGTGTACCGCAAAAAAAAAAAAGAAAAACTTGTACTAACCAAAACAGGTAATTATTTTGGAATAAAATATTACCAACATTTCTAAAACAATAACAATCATACACTATTAGAACTGGAAAAAAGGACCTAAGATTATTTCTACAATATCCCTGTCTTCTTTTTGTTTACCTATCAAATTAGGGAACTCACAAATCCCAAGGCAGTACACTCCATCTCTGGACAGTTATATAAGAAAATGTATTTTTCTAGTGAGTTGAAATCTATACACTATAATTTAATCTTTATAGAACAAGTCTAATATCTATCTCTTTGTATCTTTTAGAGTAGGGGTCAGCAAACTATGGCTCATGGGCCAGATCCAGTCTCTGCCTATTTTTATAAATAAAGTTTCACTGAAATATAGCTATGCTCCTTTGTTTAGGTATTGTCTATGACTCCTTTTATGCTACAGCCGTAGAGGTGAGTAGGTGTAACAGAGACGTTATGGCCCAAAAAGCTTAAAATATTTACTCTCTGGGTCTTTACAAAAACAGTCTAATGACCCTGTTTTAGAGGGTAATTAAGCCTAGTTCCTCCAACTATTCCCATGTAAATTCCTCCACGATCCTATTCACAATCCAGCTTATTTATGTTTTTCAAAGTAAGGCAACCCATACCTGAACAAAAGCAGAGAATAAGAAGACAAGTCCAGGAGGTACACCACCCACATAACAGAAGTTACATGAAGAAAAATAGAGAAAACAGAAGGGTGTAAATCAGTGAAATAAACTGAGAATTCTCACAACTGAAGAACATGAGTTTCCATACTGAAAGGGCCCACTGAGTACTCAACACAAGGGATTAAAAATAGACACACAACAAGACACATCATCATAAAATTTAAGAACGGTAGGGACAAAGAAAAAATTCTAAAAGCTATCAGGGGAAAGGTCACATTTAAAAGGACCAAAAATCAGAAGTGGTTTAGATTCTAACAAAAACACCTGAAGTTTGAATATAACAACTTTAAAAAAATTTTTTCCCAGCTTTCAAAATTCTGAAGGATAATGACTTCCAATATAGAATTCTATTTCCGCTCAAACTGCAAATTCAGTAGGAAGGAAGACTGAACTTATTTTCAAACAATGCAAGATCTCAAAATAAATTTATCACCTATGCGCCCTTTTCCTGGGATGTGCTCTACAAAAATGAGGATGTAAACTAACGAAGGGAAAAAATATGAGATCCAGGAAACAGGGAATCCAGCACAGGTGAGAGGCAAAAGATATCCCCAGAAAGATGATGAAGGGAGACTCCAAGATGATAGGTGTGCTCAATTTGTGGAAGGCAATCATCTCAGATTGGAGGAGGAGAAATTTCTTCAAGATGAGGAAATTTGATAGAATATCTGATGCATCTAACCATAATGAGAGAAGATTTAAACAAATGAGAGCATAGACTGAATTAGTGGTAAATACATACAGATCTAAAACAAACAAAGTGACCATTACTAATCGATGGCAAACAAAAAATATTCACAATATTCTACATAGCTCACCTGTGAATAGCATTTATATGGTTATAATGTAAACACTGAACACCATCTAACAAAATTATGGTGTAATGAATCATACTCAGAGAGTAGGGGTTAGGGAAGGTGCATAGGAGAGAGGTGAGGAGAGGTGGGAAGAAGAGAGAAATCCTTAACTTCCACGGTAGAAAGTGAGCATATTATGCCTAAACTGAAAAAAAAATAAAAGTAACATATTCACGTTATATGGAGAATTGTAAGTAAATACCGTAAGAACTGTTTAACAGAGCTGAAAGCACATGCTTGTGAAGCAAGGAAAATGGGAGGAAAGTGTGAGCAAAAGACTGTTATTTTTCATAAAAAACACTTACGGAAGTATATTAATCTTTATATGAACTCAAATGCACAAAACTTAACTAAAAGTGAAGAAAGGCAAGATGAAGAACCCTATCCCCCTCCCCTGCCCAAACTGAGGCCAAGTTATCACAAGGAAAAGCAAAATCTAAATTTTGCCTTTATGATAGTGGCCATGATTACTTTTAGAAAGATATTCCTGTCCACAGCCTTTTATGGAAAGGTTTATGGAAAAACTGGCCATTCAGAGACAATGATTTTTAAACTTTTAAAAGTCACAGATCTCTTATAGAATCTGGTTAAAGTGACGTATTTGCTACTGAGAAAAATTTATATGTGCACATTTTTCTTCTAATCTCAGAGACTGATTAGAAGCTTATCCTTGGACTTCAGCTCATAATTTCCAATTTCAAAGATGAATCAGTAAGTTCAATTTTTTATAGTTTTTCCTCCTTGCTAGTATGTACTTCTTGCATAGAAAGCATTTAGTCTCCAACTTAATTGTTCCATTTATTACTTTTTCAAGTATCTTAATTTTAAAACTAAACTTTCTACATTATAAAAGCAATGCATGCTACTGCAGAAAATACAGATAAGAGAAAGCCTTTTAAAAAAATGTATAATCTCACCTCTTAGATAATACTTTGGTACACAGTGAGTGTATCCTTCCAGATTTTTCTGTTTATACACTTAAAAACTGGAATCATAGGTATGTTTTATAATCTGCTTTTCTCATAAAACAACACATACTACGTCTTCAGATCTGATTTCTCTACTGGCTTCCAGACTTCTTTATTCCCTCAATTGCCTACTTGATCTCCTTATTTCAAACTTAGCAGGGTTTAAATGGAACTTTTCATTTTCTCCACAATTTTCCCATCTCAGTAAATGGAAATACCACCAAATTATTCAAGCTAAAAACTTCATCCTTCTTTCCTCTCTTTCTGTCATCTGCCATACCCAAATCAGTCGGTTCTGTCAACAAGAACTCCAAAATACGTCCTGAATTTATCCATCTCCACTTATGAAAAACCCGAATGAACTTTTTGGCCAAACCAACATGAAAGAGAGAGGCAGTGGCTTTGCAGTAAGTCTCAAAAGACAGACATCATTTGATTATTTATTTATCTAAAGGAAAAACTGTATTTGTTAAATACTCTTACCTACCAGTATCAAGATACCAAAGATCCTTGCAGCAAACTTGACTATTCAGTGCTTTTTTGTAGCCATCTCTTCCACTCCAAAAATACAATCGAGTGCCAATTGCAACAGCACAGTGTCCAGCTCTTGGTCTTGGTCTTGAATTTTTTTTGTCTTCTTGAGAATCTGATACTAGGGTGGTCCACTCTGCTGTATCTAAAGACAGAAATATCCATGATTAATCTACTTTTCTTAAATGACAAAATAACAAAAGTTATTTTATTAATAAACTTTATTTTAATAACTCTTAAAAGACTCACCAAGATTTAAGTAAGAAAATGAACTGGTACATCTCCATTCACAATCATGAGGTGAAGTCTCAATATTTTCCCCCTTATGTGGAACCCATCCACCAAAGATGTACATCCTGAACAACAAAAAAAGAAAACATAAAGTAGCTGGTTTTTTTTCCTAAAGCTTTAATTTTATTTTTCAGATTTAAAATGCTAAGAATAGACAAATTTATTTTTTCTTGACTCAAAGCTTCAGGACTAATAAATCACTTATCACTGTCAAGGTAATGGAAATACGATAGTGAATAAAGTGGTCTTCTTTCAAGAGTTTATAATTTTATGAAGCAATACAGAATCAAAATTATTACTCTCTGGCAAGTTATTTAAAGTGGGAAATATTTCAATTATAATACATTTGAAAATCAATAATGTATGCAATAAACTAAGGGTTGCCTGCCAGAAGGATACTCAAATGATCTATGACATCCAAAGTTAAATTTAGAATTGTATGTGTATAGTAACCAAAGAGAATTAAGTTTCTTATAACTTTGGTCACTGATATCATCAAATAAAAACCATTAGACTATGTTCCTCAGGGCCCTAAGGGTTCTCGGGACATGCCCGATGGCTGCTGAAGAAGAAAGGCTCATCAGGAAGAGCTTAGGCCATGTAGCCTCATGTCAACCAGAGAAGCTCTATTTTTTTTTAATCTATTTTATATATTAGAGTTCCAATGGAAAAACTACATGTTATAAAAGGGTTCTGCTATTTAAAAAAATGAATATCTTATTAGGTTTTGTTTATGGCTATTTTTTAAGAAGAACTAATGAGGTTCTAAATTACAACTAGTTGTTTCCTAAAACATTACTTTTAAGGTAAAGTCCCTACACAGGTAAACACTTACTTAAATTCTATTTAAACAATATTCCTAATTCTGGCCCAATGTTGCACAAAAAAGGGAACTTGTTGATAGTAACAGCTAACCTTTATGGAGTGCTCTCTATGTACCTGGCACTGTTTGAAGCATTTTATATGTATTAATTCACTCAATCCTCATGACAGCCTTGTGAAGGAGGTTTTATTAGTATCCACATTTTATACTTGAGGAAACTGAGGTACAAATAAAGTTTCCTTGCCCCAGAACAGATAGGACAAGTATCAAAGCTCAGACCTGAATTCGGGCAATCTGGTTACAGAGTCCACATTCTATCCATAACACCATCCAAAGTATAATCATTGAGCATAGACGCTGAATACACACCTGGGTACAAATCAATATGTGAAAAATATGTAAAATATGTAAAAAGAAACAGTGAGTTAGGTGTGTCAAATCTGTTGATGGAGGACAGATCAGTTTGACAACACTCTACCTTACACTTATATAACACCTACTCTGTGCATGATATTGTAAGGAATGTGAAGAAGTAAAAGAGGCAGCATGACAAGAAAATGGTAAGTATTTTGGCTCTTATGGGCATATTACTTTATGCCCAATAAATACTTTATGCACAGTAAGTATTTTAGCTCCTGTGGGCATATTACTTTATCTTCACTAAGCACAATCAAACATTATTAAATCATTTTCAAGAAATTAGCAGCATCACTCTTCTTTGTACCTATCTTTCTTAAGTTTGTTAAAAAGAAAAAAAAAGGAAGACTAAAAAACAGAAAAACACCATACTTATTTCCTATAACACTGGCTGTATGAAGGCTTCGTGGAAGTGGCACTGTCCCTTTAGTTTCTGGTTTTGACCATGACATAGTTTCTAAAAGTAAAAATAAGTATATTAGCAACTTAATCTAATAATAGCAAATTACTTCAACTTGCAGAGTTTAAAAAAAAAAGGACTTACAAAAATGAAGCAAAGGGTTTCAAAACCATTACTTGAATTTCATCTTAAAATAAACATTTCCAGCTGACATAAATTGCCAATCACAGAAATCTATTTACACTTGAATGTTAGTATTTGTAATGGAGAGGTGTATTTAGGGTGCTACTGATTTTGAAATAAAACCAGATTAAGGATTTTAACATTTTAAGTAAGAGCATATTGTGTAGAAGACACTCAGAAGTGGAAGCACACATACCCTCCAAATATTCATTCCTACGATCCCTTAAAATAGCTATGCAAGGAGGTTTTTCACTGACCAGCAGTAACATTACTAACGCCACATTTCCTGTAGACAGAGTAACCACATAAATTCAATCATCCTCAACTGGGACATCTCACAGAGTGAAAGGGGTACTATTGATAATTACGTGGGACAATAAGCATAAACCAGGACCATCCAAGGCAAACCAGAATATATGGTGACCTGACTTATAGGGAGCCCAGGAGAGTTACTGTCATAAATCAAATATTCATTTGTTCAACTTGACTGATCAGCAATCACTCATATCAAGTACAACTCAATAAAAACTGTAATCAAAAATATTTTTCAAAGCAATTTTTATATTTGCCTTTATCAATCATAATGAATTCCTGAGCCTGAATGAAGTTAAGTTTACCTAAGTCAAGTTGCCATAGGTCATCAAGGCGAGCACCACACATTCCACCAAAAACATACATTTTAGGACTTCCTGAATCTCTTCTGCAATATATAACAGCTGTGTGGGATTCTCTTGGAGAAGGCACAATCCCTTTAGTCACTGGAATGCTCCAACCCACAACACCAGAACCATGCTGTAGCTCCAACTCATAGAAATCATTTAAATATCTAGGACATAAGAAATTAAAACATTAACATGATATACACTTTTTATTTGCTTTTTGTTTCTATTTATAAAAATAATATATGCTTATTCATATAATACAGAAAGCCATTAGAAGAGCAGAAACCCCATAACTCATTCATTCAACATGTATTTATCAAACACTACTATGTACCGGGCACTCTTGTGGGGATCAGTAGTGAACAGAAGAGATTAAAAAAATTCCTGCCATCATTTAGCCAGCACTCTTGTCCATGACAATACCGTGACGGTTTCAAAACATAGCTGCAAATTCCCTGACACTCTTCCCATGAGGAGGTAGGGTCTATGTTCCCTCCCCTTGGTGCTAGGCAGGTTGTGACTGCTTCGACTAATAGAGTGTGGTGAAATGATACTATGTGACTTCTGGGGCTCAGTCACAGAAGGCCAATGCAGCTTCACTACAGAACACTTGCACTTGGAATCCTGAACCTCCCTGAAAGTCCAACTGTCACAAAACCACCATATGGAGAGGACACAGGTAGGCACACAGGATGACAGTCCCAGTTGAGTTCATCCTTCAGCCATCTCAGCTGAGGCATCAGACATGGCAGTGACCACTGAAGCCTTCCCATCTGAGGGTCTAGTCATCACTGCTGTGTCCTGTATGAATTCCCAATGTACAGAATCCACGAACACAATAAAATGGTTGCTATTTTGCATCACTAACTTTTGGGGCAGTTTATTACATGGTACTAGATAACCAGAACAATTACTATTGACAATAATTAGTAAATACCCTTTCAGATCTCTCTCGCTATGGATACCCACATATGTATAAGCAAGATACACTACAAATATTGCTTTGCAACTTTTTTTCTTTTTAAATTTTCACTCTATAATGTCATAGCAATGTCCTACATAGCTTTTTTACTCTAGAAATTGGCATGAAGCTTCTCATCTATGACATAATGTTTTCAATGTTTTGAGCAAAGTGACATTTATAAGAATCTATCTCTCAATAAATTGAGTAATCAAATTATTACTCAAATATGAGGGCAAAATTAAACATTTTAGAACATATAAAACTGCAAAGTTTAGGGCTTCCCTGGTGGCGCAGTGGTTGAGAGTCTACCTGCCGATGCAGGGGACATGGGTTCGTGCCCCGGTCTGGGAAGATCCCACATGCCGCGGAGCGGCTGGGCCTGTGAGCCATGGCCGCTGAGCCTGCGTGTCCGGAGCCTGTGCTCCGCAACGGGAGAGGCCACAACAGTGAGAGGCCCGCGTACCCCAAAAAAAAAAAAAAACAAAACTGCAGTTTAGCCATATAACTGTTTTGTGAAAAAATGATGCTAGATCATCCAGGAAAAATAAAAAGAAATCCAAGAAAGAATACACTGAATAAAAGAAATGGTTGTGCAAAGAAACTAGTAATTTATAATTAATTTAAATTGATGTTTATAACCGTGGCTGTGAGGTCTAAATAATCACTGGGAAAGACTGACCAAAAAATTAATTTCTTAACATTATTGTAGTCTGGAATAAGATTCACGACTCTACGAAACATATGTAAAAAGGGAGTAAGCAAAAAAAGGCTAAAGAAAAAGACAGTAATCTATTTCCAAAGAGTACAAGGCATCTTCAGTTTAAATGTGTATGATGATTTCCAAGCAACTAAGGGAAGCATAGAATTAGCATGTATAATTTTCAAATCATTAGCAGGAAAGAAAGAATCAAAGAAAAACAATAAATCAAGAAAAAGGAAGGAGAAGGAAAAAAAGCAAAGCATAGTCTATGGAAATAAGATGGCTGGGAAAAAAAACAACTATAAACAATGTCAAAAGAGAAGAGAAAAACTGAAAAAAAATTTAGTAAACATCACAGAATTTTCTTAATATAAAGAGCTCCTATGAAATCAAGATAACGACCAATCACACAATAGACATAGGTAAAAGGATATAAACAGGCAGTTCACAGAACAGGAAATAAAAATTATATAAATATATAAACACACATACACAAATATTCAATCTCATCACAATTTTTAGAAACCTAGCAAAGGCAGGGAAAGGGGTGTGGAGAAGCAACAACAAGCAGAGTAGATGGAAAACATAAAATTACAAGGGCAGGAAAAAACGTCCTTATTTTAAGACAAAGTCTCTTGGAGATAGGGAGTATGCAGGGGAAACAAAAGAACCCCCAATCCAACTATAAGCTATTAATAGCAGGATGATATTAAAACTATTTAACAACTGATATGGCATAGAGTTGAACAGATCAGAACGAATCCCAGCCAGTATGCTATACCAGTGCATACTAGTTAATTGTTAGTCCTATTTACATAAGATAAGTCTATAACAAAATAATACACACAGGTTGAAATTATATATGTAAGGAACAAAACACAAATTCACAATCACACTGGGAGATTTTAACATGTCATTCAGAAGTTATGACATACACCCACAGGATAAAAAAGCTTTGAATAATAATTTAAAACATTGATTTAATAAAGAACCTTTTAGCCAAACAGTCAAGAACTTACAGTCTTTATGAAGAACTATAATAATTACAAAAATGACTGTGAAATAGACCACAAAAACAATCATTAAAAAGGAGAAATCCTATAGACCACATTTTTTTTAACCTCAATATAATAAAACTAGATATTAGCAACAATAACAAAACTTTCCATTTTGAAATTTTTCTTTCTTTTTTTTTGGCCACACCACTCAGCTTGTGGAAACTTAGTTCCCCAACCAGGGATCGAACCCAGGTCCATGGCAGTGAAAGCCCAAGTCTTAACCACTGGAACACCAGAGAATTCCTCCATTTGGAAAATTTTAAAAATTAAGCTCAACATCCATTTTTTGGTTAAAAAGAAACAAAAAATGAATTAGCAAACTATAGATTTAAGAAAACTTCCTTATATATATGGAACCAAAAAATACAACAAGCTAGTAAATGTAACAAAAAAGAACCAGACTCACAGATATAGAGAGCAAACTGTGGTTAGCAGTGGAGAGAGGGAAGGGGGGGAGGGACAACATGGGGTAGGGAATTAAGAGGTTACAAACTATTAGGTATAAAATAAGCTACAAGGACATACTGCACTACACGGAGAATATAGCCAACACTTTATAATTATAAATGGAGTATAACCTTAAAAAATTGTGAATCACTATACTGTACACCTGTTACTTATGTAATATTATACAACTATACTTCATATATATATAACTTTTTTTTTTAGAACTTCCTTAATCTGATCAAAGGCATATACTAGAGACCTACAGCAAACATCACAATTAAAGATAGAAAGGTAAATAATGAAACAGAAGAGAGTCTAGAACAAGAGCTCACAAACTTTTTCTGGAAAGAGCTAGATAGTAAATATTTTAAGCTTTGTAGGCCATAAATTCTGTCACAACTACTCAACTCTGCCCTTTTAATATGAAAGCAGCCAGAGACAATATGTAAATGAATGGACATGGCTGTGTTCCAATGAAACTTTACTAGCAAAAACAGGCAGCAGGCCAAATTTTGTCTACAGAGAGTAGTTTGTAACCCCTGGTCTAGAGAGTCTAGAAAAAGACCCAATTCTAAGAGAATTAAGATATGACAGAGATGGGAGTTCAACACATTGTGTGGGGGGGGACTGACTTATTTAATAAATGGTGGTGGGAGAACTGAAAATTCATTCAGAAGAAAAAGTAAAAAGCCTCACACTAGTCACAGAAATATATTCCAAATGCATTAATATTTTAAACACAAAAACAAAGCTGTGAATGTACTAGAAGAAAATATAGAAACATTATTTTTATAGTTTTGGGACAGGAGATTCTTCCTAAAAAGCAGGATACAAACCAGAATGCCATTAAAAAGTATATTGTCATACTTGATAAAACAAAAAGGAAAACCCTTAAAAAAGCGGGGGGAGCAAACAGAAGACTTGGGAAAAAATATTTGGAACATATAAAACAAATTACATAGAGAACTCCTAAGAATCACTAATAAAAAGAAAAACAAAAATCCATGAAAATATGATTAGAAATAATAAATGAATTCAGCAAGGTCACAGGATACAAGATCAATATACAAAGACCAAATGTATTTCTATATGCTAGCAATGAACAGGCCAAAAACGAAATTAAGAAACCAAATCTATTCACAATGTCATCAAAAAGAATAAAAAGTTAGAAATAAATTTAACAAAATAAGAGCAAGATTTGTACATTGAAAACCTCAAAATATCGCTGACTGACAATAAAGAAGATCTAAATAAATGTAGAGACATTCCATGTTCATAGATTGGAAGACTCAATACTAATAAGATAGCAACTGTCCACAAATTGATCTATATAGTCAACACAATCCCTATCAAAATCCCAGAAGACCTTTTTGCAGAAATTGGCAAGTTGATCCTAAAATTTATACAGAAACGTAAAGGATTCAGAATAGCTAAAACATTCTTGAAAAAAGAGTAATAAAATTTGAGAACTTATATCTTCCTATTTCAAAGCGTAATATAAAGCTACAGTAATCCAAACAGTGTGGTACTGGCATAAGGCCAGTGGAACAGAATTGAGAGTCCATAAATAAACCCTTACATTTACGGTCAATTCATTTTCAATAAAGGTGCCAAAACAATACAGTGGGAAAAGGATAGTCTTTTCAATGAAAGGTGTTGGGAAAACTGGATATCTACATGTAAAAGAATGAATTTAGACACTTACTTTACCCAGGCATAAAAATTACCTCAAAATGAATCACAGATATAACTACAGAACTTTTATAAGAAAATAGAGGAAAGCTTTGTAACCTTGACACACGCAAAGAGTTCTTAAAAAGGATGCTAAAAGCATGATCCATAAAAGAAAAAATGGATAAACTGAGCTTATCAAAATTAAAATCTTTGTGCTTCAAAAGATACCATTAAGAAAATAAAAAGACAAGCTACAGATGGGAAGAAAATATTTGCAAATCACATATTTGATTTTTTAAAAAACAAACCTGTACGCAGAATATATAAAGAACACTTATAATTCAATAATAAGAATACAAGCAACTAAATTTTATTTTTAGATTTATTTTATTGAAGTATAGTTGATTTACAATGTTACGTTAATTTCTGCTGTACAGCAAAGTGATTCAGTTATACATATAAATATATACATTTTTTCATATTCTTTTCATTATGGTTTATCACAGGATATGGAATATAGTTCCCTGTGCTATACAGTAGAACCTTGTTGTTTATCCATTCTCTATATAATAGTTTGCATCTGCTAATCTCAAACTCCCAATCCATCCTTCCCCCACACCCCCACCCTTGGCAACCACAAGTCTGTTCTCTATGTCTGTGAGTCTCTTTCTGTTTCATAGATAAGTTCATTTGTGTCATATTTTAGATTCCACATATAAGTGATCTCATGTGGTATTTGTCTTTCTCTTTCTGACTTACTTCACTTAGTATGATAATCTCTAAGTCCATCCATGTTGCTGCAAATGGAATTATTTCATTCTTTTTTTTATGGCTATGTAGTATTCCATTGTATATGTGTACCACATCTTCTTTATCCATTCATCTGTCTTTGGACATTTAGGTTGTTTCCATGCCTTGGCTACTGTGAATAGTGCAGCTATGAACACAGGCATACATGTATCTTTTCGAATTACAGTTTTTTCCAGATATATGCCCAGGAATGGGACTGCTGGACCATATGACAACTCTATTTTTAGTTTTTTGTGAAACCTCCATACTGTTTTCCAGAGTGGCTGCAGCAATTTACATTCCCACCAACAGTGTAGGAGGGTTCCCTTTTTTCCACACCCTCTCCAGCATTTATTATTTGTAGACTTTTTTTTTTTTTTTTTTTTTGCGGTATGTGGGCCTCTCACTGTTGTGGCCTCTCCCGCTGCAGAGCACAGGCTCCGGATGCGCAGGCTCAACGGCCATGGCCCATGGGCCCAGCCGCTCCACGGCACGTGGGATCTTCCCGGACTGGGGCACGAACCCGTGTCCCCTGCATCAGCAGGCGGACTCCCAACCACTGCGCCACCAGGGAAGCCCAATTTGTAGACTTTTTAATGATGGCCATTCTGACTGGTGTGAGGTGGTACCTGATTGCAGTTTTGATCTGCATTTCTCTAATAATTAGCAATGTTCCGCATCTTTTTTTGTGCCTGTTGGTCAAGTGTATCTAACAAATGAACAGAGATCTGAATAGAAATTTCATCAAACAAGATATATGAATGGCTAAAAAGCTCATGAAAAGAAGCTCAACATCACTGGTCATTAGGGAAATGCAAATTAAAACCATAATAAGATACCACCTTATACCCACTAGGTTGGCTATAAAAAAAAAGACAGACAATAACAAGTGTTAACAAGGATGTGGAAAATTTGGAACACTTATACATTGCTGGTGGGAAGGTAAGATGGTAGTCACTTTGGAAAACAGTTTGGTAGTACTTAAGAAGTTAAGTATAAATTTCCCACATGACTCAGCAATTCTATTACTAAGTATCTAATCAAGAGTAATGAATACATGTCCATAGAAAGACCTGTATGCAAATGATCATAACAGCATTATTCATAAAAGCCAAAAACTGGAAACAATCCAAATGTCTACTAACCGATGAACAGATAAACAAAATGTGATATATCAATACAATGGAGTATTATGCAGCAATAAAAGGAAGAAATATTTGATACATGCTACAACATGGTTGAACCTTAAGAACATTATGCTAAGTGAAAGAAGATAAATGCACAAAAGCACATTTGTACAAAATGTTCAGAAAAGGCTAATCTACGGAGACAGAAAGTAGACTGGTAGTTGCCTGGGGATTGGTATGGGAATGCGGACTGACTGCAAATGAATAAGAAGTTTCTTTTGGAGTGATAGAAATGTTCTAGAACTGGATTGTGGTGATGGTTACACAACACTGTAAATTACTAAAAATCATTGAATTGTACATATAAAAAGGATGAATTTTATGGTATATAATATATACTTCAACTTTTAAAAATAGAAAAATAAACAAGGACCTGAACAGACAATTTCAAAAAAGTAATTGTAAATATCCAATAAGCATTATTAATCAAGCTCATTCCTAGTTTAAAAATAAATCAAGATAAACCCATGAAATGTATTTCACCAATTATGTTGGCAAAAACTAAGAAGAGTGAGATGATTCAGTATTGCTGAGGGTATAAGGCACTCTCGTACACAGTTATTAGGAGTATAAAATAGTTCCATCTCTTTGGAGGTTGATTCAGAGGTACCTAAACAAACTTAAATGTACCCTTTGACCAACACCCTCCCTCCCAATTCCATTTATAAGTATCAATCCTACAAAAATATTTATACATGTGCAAAAACTGTAATAGCAAAATAATGGAAATATTTAAATGTCCATCTGTAGGGGAATGGTTAAATAATTTGCATAATTCAGACTACTTTTCAGCCTTTAAAAAATAGGTCAATCCATATCTACTGCCATGTAAAGATATATTGTTAAAAGTAAAAAACAAACAAAAAACCCAAACAAGTAAACACCCAAAGTCATAAAGCAAGAAGAAAGACCTCACTTGTATAAAAAAAATACATGTCTGCATAGAATCAGATTAAGGTTCCCAAGTCCCCTCTCCCAGAAAGCAGAACATGTATCCTTGCATCATCGACTCAGGTCTTGGCCTTAGGGCTTGCTCTGACCAATGGAATGTCAACAGAAATGAATGTGCTAGCTTTAATCAAGGTTTTAAAAAGTATCACGTGTATCTAGTTATTCCCTCAAGCAGCATAAACTTGAGAAGCTTACCCTTAACACAACAAAAGCTAATACAATGTGTTACATGAAAAAGGTTCCAAAAGATACACATCAAACTGAATTATGTGTGCTTGCCTATGCTGGGGAACAGTGATGCTATGAGAAAGAACTTCGTATACTTTTTAGTTTCTTGAATTTTACAAGTCTGTACCTAAAAAAAAATTGTTTAGTGGAAAATGAAAAAAAGACATGGGCTAAAAGTAAAAGTATCTGGATTAGTGTGGTGGTATAAATTCTTTTCCTTTTCTACAGTTTCCAATTTTTCCATGTAGTTTTAGTATATGTTATTTTTTAAAGTCTGGAGGAAAAAAAAAGCTAACTCTATTATCAGTCTAATGTAGGTAAAAAGACACATTATAATGGCGATGACAACTACTGATATTGCTGATGGCAACTTGAAAGTCCTTTGAAAATTATTCCAATAATCTTATTTAGCAATCACAATGACACTGAAAGGTAGGTATTTAATCACTCGCATTTCACAGTGAAGGAAAACAGGCTTAGATTACTTCCACTAAAGGACACATACACGGTAAGCAGTGAATCAGAAAACAGCCTTTTGGATTCTAAACCTCCAAATCCTGAATGCTATAATGACCATGTGATCAAAACATTATGCAAAAAGAAAAGAGGCAGTGATTAATTCTGTTTGGAAAAAGGAGGAGAGAATTGGTTCTGAAAGTACTTGCTTGTGTGAACCACTCTTAACAGCTTCCTACGAGAAAAATGGAAATGATAGCCTTCATTCTATATTCAGATTTTTGTCACTAACTCTCAGAGAAATATAATTTGAAAATATCCATTTATTACTTTTCATTATCACTTATGACAACTAAAATTCATTATGGCTCAACGTATACAAATATATTGCCACAAGCAGTTATATTAATATCAATTTAATAAGATGATTTCTGATCAGAAAAGGCACAGTTTTGAAAACAGATATACTCCAGGGACTAAGGAAAACACAAAATGGACACAAATTTGTTCACTGTTAGGTTTAATTGAAAATGGCTAAGCTTCAACACTTTTGAAAATTAAAGATGGAAGAAATGAAATGTTTTTAATCTAAATCGTAAAATAAACATTTGGTCTGAAAAAGTGTTGGCATACCTGGGAACATTATTGTTTGAATCTTCACTTTCATTTGCCAGGCCACCAAACAAATAGCATTTGTTACCATATAAAGAGAAGCTATGTCCCAGCCGAGGACAAGGAGGTAAACCAGAAGAAGGAGGATACGGTTTCACTTTTTTCCATAACCAACGACTTGCCTAAAAAAGAGCATAAATACTCTCAGACAAAATCAGGAAAGTGCTCCTATATTGTCAATAGTGTAACATCATACCAATACATTTTAATCTGAATCCAATCAGAAGGCTTCAATAAGCTACTTTTGGGACAAATGACAAGTTAACCAGATAACTTCAAGAATTAAAATGAGTGTTCCAATAGAAATTCAGTCTAATCTTCCATATTCACAGCTTTCCACAATGGCAAACTAAGCTTATAATAATAAACACTAGCAGTTATAAAATATTTTCCAAATGAAAAATTCAACATTATTTATAGCTTTAAGATTAAATGTAATTTATGTACTCTCACTTTTTGAAATTAGGTAATCCATGGATAGTATATATTTTAACCTTTAAATAAACATAAAGCTCATTAAAAAGTTTTTTTTTTCTTGGCTGCTGCATGGCATGCGAGATCTTAGTTCCCCAAACAGGGATCGAACCTGTGCCCCCTGCAGTGGAAGTGCGGAGTCTTAACCACTGGACCACCAGGGAAGTCCAACATAAAGATCACTTAACAAACCAAACTCCAAAACTTATTCTCTAGCCATGGATGCTTTCTTTATCTAAAACTACTTTTGAAAAAAATTTTAAATGGACTGCTTGTAAATAGGCATAATTCACCTACATCTGCCAACTACCAGATACCCTTATGATCACAGCCGTGGGAATATACAGTTCAGGAATAAAAGTCAGTTAAGGCTGTCACAGAGGGCTCTGGGTCTGGTTTATTAGAGAGTAAAATCTAGAAAGGCTATTTGAAACTGTTACCCCTTTTGTATGTACTGCCAGAAAGGGGAAAAAAGTGATTATTAGCGTGAGGGTAACAATTTCTGTAACTAAGGCAGAAGTTTTCAAAAACGTACGGTCTGGAGACCAGCAGGAGCAGGTGGGAAGTCAGAAGGAATGCAAATTCTCTGTAGAGAATACTGATTCAGAAACTCTAAGGGCGGGGCCCAGCAATCTGTGTTTTCACAAACCCTCCAGGTGCTTCTGCTGCAGGCTAAAGTTAAAGAAAGACTGCGCTAAGATACAAAAGCTCAAACATATAACTTGTACAACTGAGGCTAAGTAACAGGTATCTTAATGTTACAAATGTTGCACTGGGTATTGGAAAAAGACTTACACTAGAAACTTTGGCTTTGGGACTTCCCTGGTGGTCCAGCGGATAAGACTCCACGCTCCCAATGCAGGGGACACGGGTTTGATCCCTGGTCAGGGAACTAAGATCCCACATCCCACATGCCGCATGCCACACGGCGCGGGCAAAAAAAAAAAAAGGAAACTTTGGCTTTTTAGTGAAGTGGAAATGTTTTCTTTGAAGCTATGAAATGTGAAGCTCACACTATTTTAAGCATGTTAATGAAACATTTTGCAATCTTTCAAAGAATTATGAGCAATATCATTAAAATTTCAGGTTGAGATAATAAATTTGAAATATACTTACTTGTAACTCATATAACTCATTGCTGTATCTTCCGTATTCAACCATTCCCCCAAATACTAATATTCTGGTACCATCACAGACAAATCCATGGGCAGCACAGCCTGGAGGGATGTCTCCTCTAACAGCTGGCAGGAACCACTGATTTGTAACTAGTTGCCAAAATAAAATTAAGACCAATTATAATAAACAGTTATCACAAACTATGAGTATGTACTTTTATATGAATCATTTATATCAGTGGTTCTTAATTGGGAATGATCTTGCCCCCCCAGGGACAAACAAAAAAATTTCAGTCGTCAGAACTGCAGGAGGAGGGTGTTACTGGCAACTAGTGGGTAGAAGGCTGGGGATATAGGGCAGCCCCTAAAACAAACAAAATTATCCGGTTCAAACGTCAATCATGCTGCTGTTGAAAACCCTGATCTATATCACTTAATTTCTCAACAAAAACCCTACTTGGGGAGCATCATCCTCTCCATTTTACAAGTGAAAACTTTGACACTTCGGTTCAGTAACTTTAGGGCTGATCCTTGAGCAACTGGCAGAGCAAAATTCAAACCAGGTCTAACTTATTCCACAGCCAAGGATTTTACAGTCTACCAAATTGTCGACTAACTTTTTAACTTTTTTATGCTGGGGTGCCAGGAGGAGGAGAAGGTGAAAAAATAAAGTTTCCCCTACTCGACCATTTTATTAATTTCTAAATGACCACTACGATTAAGTTGTTTGGTCAAAGCAAAGTTATTGATCACGACATAGACTTCAAACTCATTAATTAGCCTTACACCAAGAAAACAGCTTCCTTAGGACTGCTGGCGCATTTACAAGTGGGAAAAATGAAATTCCAACATCCTTTCCGTTCCACGGAGGTACTCAAAGTCAGGGCCTCCGCGGCCGGGGGCATTTCTGATGTGCGGCGGCGCTCAAGGCGACAGTCCTCCCCGAGCGCTGAACGGCTGAGCTTGGGCACACACACCCAACCACGCAGACAGGCGCCGGTATCACCCACGAGCCACTTCCCCGCCAGTGAAGAGGGCTACCAACGGGGTAAGAATCTTGACTAACAACTGCCAGGTACGGGGCTGTATTTGGGGTGAAAGTACCAGAAGCCCTCTCGTTTTCCCTCCTCATCTCCTCTATATTCTCTTCCTCCTAAAGAAGGCAGGCAGGCAAAGACGGGAAAGGCCCGGAGGAGCTCTGGTTTGGAGGTGGGTTTTGACAGGGAGGGATCTCGGGGCCCCGGAGTGGGCGAGACTTCGGGAAGAGGCCCAGGCGGATGGAAACAGTCTCTCTCGCCTACGTCCGCCAGCAGGGCTGGGGCGGGGGGGTCCGGGACCGCCTGCCCGAGGGCCGGCGCGCCCCGCACGGGAGCCGGTTCCGCCCCGGCAATCCCGGAGAAACGGAGCTACGGCCCGGGACGCTGCGGGATTGGGGCCGCCCGGCCGAGACTCGCTCCCCGCCGCCCGCCGGAGGAGGCAGTGACCCGGCGGTGACAGCTGTCAGGGCCGAGGCCGCCGCCTCGTCTCCCCTCCCCCTCCGCGGCTCCCACAGGCGGGGCCGAGGAACCGCCGCCGCGCCTACCCGTGTTGTAGACGTGCAGCTCGTCGGCGATGCCCTCGTTGCCCCCTCCAAAGATGATCATCAGCTCCCGGATGGCCACCGCGCGGTGTCCGTGCCGGGCGCGGGGGACCGGCCCCGTGAAGGAGGAAACCCGCCTCCAGTTGAGGAGGCTGGGAGCCGCCATCTTCCCAACCCCCGCCCCTCTGTCCACAATGCACCGCGCCTGCTCCGGCGCCGCTGCTCCGGGAGGAGGGCTGGGACCCGCCTCCAGCTGTGCACGCGGGAGGAGGGGAACCCCACGGAGGAGGGTGATGGTCACGTGACCGCGGGCGTCCAGGGTGAGGATGGAGGGCTGCGGGGAGCAGAGGGGGTCCTGGCAAGGGAGCCCCACCCCTCCGGGTGACGTGGCTGGTGTTGGCACCCTGGACAAGGGATTTTAGGGTGGAAGGAAATTTCCTACCGACCAGTCTCCCCTCCCCATCCAGAGCCTCCAGTTTTTTATTTGCGGGAGAAGATACAGCGTTTTCCTTTACGGCCACTTTGAGCATCTAGGATGTGCGGGCGAGTCAGACCTTTTAAAAGAGGGGTCCCCAACCCCCAGGCCGCAGACCGCAACCTGTCCGGGCCTGTTAGGAAAGGGGCCACACAGCAGGGGCTGAGCAGGAGGTGAGCGAGGCTTCTTCTTCGCCTGAACTATTCCCGCCCCCCATTCCATGGAAAAATTGGCTTCCACGAAGCCCGTCCCTGGTGCCAAAAAGGTTGGGGACAGATGCTTTAAACAATGACAACACAGCAAGGGAAAAGCTCTCGTAGAGGTTTTGAAGTGCCAGGAGCGCGGGGACAGGAGAGGGAAGTCCATCGCCGCCGAGGGCGTGACTGCGCGCAGAGCGCCTGGGCGTAGAGGATGCCGCCGAAGGCTGGGGGAGGGGGGCAGTCTGGACCATGGTGGAGAGGCCGCGAGCGCTGCGTGCCACTCGCGGCTGGGAACACCGGAGGGAATGTCGGAGCTAAGCCTGCAAAGGCAAGTCAGGCAGATCAGATTTGGAGGGTGACATGCCAAGAAGTTTAGGAACGGTGAGCCGCGAAAGTTGTTTTGTTTAAGCAGGTGGGAGGTTATATATAGATTTATCTTTTATTACTATCTAACATTTGAGGGTCTTTCATTGACAAGCGCTGTCCTCCTTGCCTTATATGAATTAATTTGTGATTCTCCTAACCAGTGAAGTGGGTACTGTTATTTCCCTTTCGTGGATGGGGAAATGAGGCACAGAAAAGTAAAGTAATTTTCTCATGGGCACACAGCAGAATTAGGGACAGTATTCAAACGCAGAGCTTCTGATTCCAGAGCCCCAACCCCTAACCACTATACCATACTTACTGTGAATACAGTCATAAGTAACCCTGTTAAGTCCGGGCTGCTTTGTGATCTGGTCCTACACAGACTCACACTCAAAGAGATACAAGTCCAGCGGCAGAGGTCGGGGGGGGGGGGGGGGGGGGGGGGAAATGAAAGCAATTTAAATCCCTACCTCACACTCTAAAGAAGGTATCAAAGAGGGAATACACATAATGTAGGCCAAATTTGCTAAAATTTCATTTCCCTCATCTTAACTATTTTCAATTTCTCTCGTATGCCTAGCTCATCTCTCCTCCCCCAATTCCGTCAAACCTAACCATGCCTCTCCCACCTTCTTGTTCATCTAAACTGCCTTTTGAGAGGTAATTCTCTCCCTTTTAAAAAGGAATTCTTACTATTCTTTCCAGCTCCTGCTTTTCAAGTTCTTCCTGTCACTGATTAATTCCCCAGTTTCATAATATGGTCAAAGAGAATTTGGAATTGGAATAGGAAGGTGGCTGGAAACAAAGAAAGCTATGAATATTTATGTACTGATATTTTTCTTGGTCACATACATAACATGGGCTCTTAAATGTTTCAGTTATAACGTTTTTAGGTATCTGAAACTACTGGAAAAGTTGGGGTAGAGCCATGAGTTTTTCATAAAACTTTAAATACTTTATTTAAAGAATTATATTTTATTCTGAGAGTTTAGTGTTAAAATGTCCTAACTTTTATGACTGATACTGTAAGTGGGTGGTAGTTTTTTTTTTTTTTAATGTCCTTATAGCAAAAGACTAAGGGTAAAATTAAAAGTTGCAAACCCAATGTTGATATTCAAATTAAAAAAAATCAAAACTGGTGTATGATATTTGAAAGTCTGAAAATCTCTGAACTAAGGGAGAGATGAAGGCAAAATGTTAAGACAAAGGAGATTACAAGTGATAACTGGTCGCTTAGATAAGGAGCTTCAGGACAGTGGTGGAGCTCTGTATTAGTTTCCTAAGACTGCTGTAACAAAGTACCACAAACCAGGTGGATTAAAACAACAGAAATTTGTTGTCTCACAGTTCTAGAGTGTAGAAATCCAAAATCAGAGACATGATCCCTCTGAAACCTGTAGGGAAGAATACTTCCTTGCCTCTTTCTGGCTTCTGGTGGTGGCCGTCAATCCTAGGCCTTCCTTGGCTTGTAGCAGCATCACTCCAGCCTCTGCCTCTCCATCATCATACGGTGTTGTCCCTGTGTGTCTGTGTTTCTTCTCTTCTTATAAGTTCACCAGTCATATCAGATTAGGGCCCACCTAATGGCCTCACCTTAACTTGTTTACATCTGCAAAGGCCTTATGTTCAAATAAGGTCACAATCACAGGTTAGAACTTAAACATATCTGTTTTTGGGGGGACACAGTTCAATACATGGACAGGATGCTTAATCCAATGGGAAAGATATTTTACCAGAGCACCTTTGACTCAACGCTGCTTAAGTGAGGAGTCTAGATTAGGTCCCCAATTCTCAAGAAAGCTACGTTCAATCTTTGAAACTTTAAGAATGGAAGTTACCGCCTAGGAGGTGAGTGTACAAAGGGAAGAGAAGAATGAGGCAGAATAGCGCCCTGAAGAAACCAACTTTTAAGAGGTAAAGACAGCAGGAGGCTCTCATGAACAGAAATGGGGAACGAATAGCGAGAGAAGTCAAAAGGGAACTGGGTGAGGGTGATGTCAAAGAAGCCACAGGCTAAGGGGCTTTCACAGAGTGGAAGTGGTTATCAAAGCCAAGAGCCATAGAGAGGTCAGATAAGAAAAAGACAAAGAAGCAACGTCTGCAAACTAAGAGGTTATTAATGGCCTAGGTTAAAATACTCAGTGGAGTGGGAGGAGGGAAGCCACAGAAGATCGAAGAATGAATAACAAGTGAGGACGCACAGATAACATGTATAGTCTACTTTTTACAGACACTTGCCCCCAGAAGGAAAGAAAAAACAGTGGCTGGAGGGGAGAAATGGCTGTGTACAGAGCAAGCTCTTCTCATTCTTTTCCAAGGATGAGACTTGAACATGACTGTGGGCTCAGAAGAAGGATCCTGTTGAAAAGGTAAGACTGAAGGAGCAATAGAGATGTCTTAGTCTGCTTAGGCTGCTGTAACACAATACTAGAGGCTGCGTGGTTTATAAACAACCAAAATTTACTTCTCACAGTTCTGGAGACTGAAAGCCCAAGATCAGGGTGCCAGCATGGTCAGATTCTGCTGAAGATACTCTTGTAGGTTTCAGACTGTTGACTTCTCACTGTATCCTTACCTGGTGAAAGGGATGAAGGAGCTCTCTGGGGTCTCTTATAAGGGCGTTAATCCCATTCATGAGGGCTCCACTCTTATGACCTAAGCACCAAAATACCAAAGACCCTACCTCCTAACACCATCACCTTGGGGGTGAGGATTTCAACATATGAATTTGGAGGGGGACACAAACATTTAAATCATAGCAAAAGAATATGTCATTTGGAAATGCTTTTTGTTACAAGTAGCAGAATATCCGACACAGTGTGGCTAAATGATAAGGCACTTAATTATCTTGCACAAGAAATCTGGGGTAGGTAGGTCTAGGGTTAATTTGGCAGTTCAGTGGTGTTACGGTTCCAGGTAGCAGTTCTGAATTTCTCTTGACTTTTCCTTTATGGTCAAAAGAAGGTCGTTGCAACTTTGGACATTGTGTCCCCATACAGCCATGCCCAAAGGCATGAAGCAGGAGGACAGCCAGGATGGGGAAATAGGGCTTTCGTTTTACAGGGAGGAAAAGCATCTTGCCCAGAAGCCACCCAGCATACTTGCTCTTAGGTTTCACTGGCCAGAACTGGGACATTTGGTATATTAAGATTACATTAGCTATAGTGACAGAAATAGGCTTTAAAAGTTTATGTTTCTCCCATCTAAATGAACTTTGGAAATGGCAGTCCAAAGCCAGCATGGCAGCTCTATTTCACCACATCTTCAGGAATTTGTAGACTTTGTAGATTGGAATTCCTCCTTCCAGCTCATGATCCAAGATGGCTGCTCCAGCTCTAGCTATTGCATCTACACTCCAGCCAGCAGGAAAGAGTAGGGGAAAGGAATGTTCCCCTCTCCAGAACACATTCTGGAATTGTACATGTTATTTCTGCTTACATCCCATATGCCAGTATTTAGTCACAAGGCCACAGCTAGTTGAAGGAAGTTTGTGAAATGTAGTTTTTATTTAGAATGGCCAAGTGCTCGGGTAATAGTCAAGGTTCTATCACAAAGAAAGAAGAGAAGAGCAGACCGTGGGGGTCTTCTTGCAGGAGGGTGGCTATAGGAGACTAGGAAAGTGTTTTTGTTTGTTTGTTTTTAGCCTCAGTAATGAGAAGCAGGCAAGGGAGAAGAAGGTTGGAAAAGAGAATTGGTGAGTTAACCAAGTAGGCCTGTCTCAGGGCAGGTTGAAACTTGACTGAGCAAGATCCTAGAGGATCAAGAAAAGGTGGATTCAGAAGTACATGAAGATTTACACATGGACTGGGGTTGAATATATGTCTATTGCATAGATTATATAATTGTTTATATTCTATAAAAATATATTAAAACACAGAAAGCTCATTGGACAGCACTGCTCTAGCCTTTTGAAGTTACATTAGAGAAGATGCCTTCATCTGTCACCACTTTCTCTCCTTCACTCCCGCTCCCCCATATCAAACACCATCATTTACCTGGAATCTTAGTATAGCATAGAGGTTAAGATCACGGGATTTAGAATTCAATAGGCATAGCTGTTTACTAGCTAGGTGGTCTTGGTCAAATTATTTATTTTTTTGAGCTTCAGATGCTTTGTCTAGAAAATGGGGATTGTAATAGCATCTATTTCTTAAGGTTATTTTGAAGATCAACTGAGATAATATATGCAAAGTACAGGCTGTCCTTGCTTTGCATGAGAGTGCAGTTCTGTGAAAATGGCCATGGAAGCTGAAACCCTGCAAAGCGATCTTAATTACTCATGGGAAAAATTACAGTTGTTTTGTTCATGATCTTTAAAAATTTTTGTCAAAATATTTAAGGTTCTCTTACTGTTAGTTTTAAATGTCTAAAGAAATGAAAAAAATAGTAGACTTAATGTTTATTTGTTCTACTGTAATTTAAAACATTGGACATATTGAAGATGAAAATTAAATATTTAGGGTTTGTTTTGGTTTTGGTTTTGGTTTTGGTATAAAACTTACCAAGAGCAGCTGAGCAGTGCTTAACCTTCTTGCCATTTAACTTACTGTAAGGAGTGAGCATCTTTTCTGTGCCTTGGAAAATGGTCATACTCCTTTCTAAGTTTGGATCAGCTTCCCATATTTTATCCTTTGCACTTTTAACATCATAAAATAACCTTTGAGAGTTCCTCTAATGTGAATTTTTTGCCCATGTCATTTCCTCTGGAACATCTCCATCCCTCTCATCACAACCGCTTTCCTTATTTATGTTCGTAAAATCACCCTTACTAGATTTTTCTGGCTGCATAGCTAGAGTTGAATAGCAACAGTATCATCCCACGGCCAACTAATTTCTCCTCTACCTTCATTTACCTTTGATTTGAATGTCACTCCCACTATTATCATTTTTTTGTTTCTTTGCTAACGTTTCTCTTTGTTGGCCAATTCTGTTATCCATTTTTGTGGATGTCGCATGGGTTTATCACTGGGAAGTAACGAAGCAACACAACTACATGCTTTGCTGTCTGTACATAAGCCGAATAACAGCTATCCAGTGACCAATCAAGGACAGACTGTCAAAGAAGTGACATGATTGGTCACTCATCATTGATGTGGCTCTGTTATCAGCGTAGTAATTTTGTGGACTGAAAAGCTAGCAGCAAAGTTAGTAATTATCCAACTACTCAGTTGATATACTGTGGTAACAGATTTGAACTGTGTTGTAGGGGGACTGATGTTATTGAACTAACCGTGGTGACTGAAATTGGTGCTGATGCCACACAGAGCAAGGACAGTGCTGCGCTTACGAAATGCCTAGCACGTGGTTAGCATTTAGTAAGTAATAGATTGTTTAACTTCTATCGTTTTCGTTATATTACTACTGTTTCTACTCCTCCTGAGCTACGGGCCCCTGAGGAGTCAGTCCGAGAGGGAGGGGCTGGTGCTGGGAGGTGGCAGACAGTGCAGTGTTTTCAGCCAAGAGTGTAAAATGGCCGTGTCCAACGGATACCTTAATCTCAGTTGAGAACTCAGGCCAAGGGCTTATTGGCAGCAGTCTGAGAAGGGGTTTTGAGGAGTGCCAGCAGGTAGGCAGAGCTCAACAGCAGAGAGCCTAGGCAGGTGCTGTTCCCGAGACGAAAGAAGCAGATGGTGTCTGAGAGGTCTGCTCCCAGATCACAGGGCTCCAGCCATGGCGAGAGCTGCGGCCAAGGCCTGGAGAGGGCAGCTGGCCAGAACAAGGCAGGACCCCAGGCCAGGTAGAGCCTACACCAATTACCAGAGGAAGGAGCTCGCACAAAAGCCAGGGAGGAAAAGCAGTCATCTCACGTGGGAGAAAGGGACCCTGTGTGCAAAGAGTCAGGTGCAGGAGCGATTGCTGCAGCTCAGGGGGTAGCAGGCAAGAGCCAGAGCAGCTAAGCTCTGGACAAGGAGATGACCCATCACTGAGCCCCACCAGCCAAAGAGAGGGAATTGAGGCCGCCATAGTTGTATTTCCTGCCCCATGTGGATGATCCTGGAGCCCAGCCCTGGGAGACCGAGGCAATAAATAGAGGCTTGTCAGCCTGACCCAATGCAGTGATTCACTGCTGCTGCACAATGCTGCTTCCTTTCCTTCCAGTCACATTTATCAGCCTTAATAGGGTTTATCTTACCTGCTTATCTACAAAGTAATACACTCAGCCAAGGCAGGCCCATTGGGTAAGAAATGATGAACATTTGGCTTTCAACTAATAAGAAATAAACATGGAATAATAATGACTCAGATATACATTGTGTTGACTAATGATAGCACAAATCGAAAATGCATATAGATCACGTAGGACTGTGTTAAGGCAGATAACCGAAACCTAACCAAAGTAACTTAACCGCATCCAGGTTTATTTTCCTCACACGGTTAGATGCTCCGTAAGTAGTCAGCTCAGGCTGCTGTGGTGACTCCTGGTGCCATCGGGACTGAGGCTTCTCCTGTGTTCTTGCTCTGCCCTCCTCACTTAACACGTGCAGGGCTGCTGAGTCACCCAGCGCTGGGGCACGGATAGTTTCCATTTGCTTATGAAGATCTATTCTCTACTCTTCTTTAAGTTGTTCAGTGCCGTGAGGCTGACCTAAATGTATTACGTCACCTGACGTCTCCAGGTCTCTGACTTCCAGCTGGGTTTGGCCAATGGGAGGCACCACCAACAGGAGATTGTAAGGTTGGGGTAATGTACCTCCTAGTCCCTTTCGTGGGGGTGAACAGAGGGCACTCCTCTTGGGCAGCCCTTCCCTGCGGCTGCTTCCTCCCACTCCTGGTGCTATAGCATCAATTTTTTTTTTTTTCCTGTACGCGGGCCTCTCACCTCTGCGGCCTCTCCTGTTGCGAAGCACAGGCTCCGGACGTGCAGGCTCAGCGGCCATGGCTCATGGGCCCAGCCACTCTGCGGCATGTGGGATCTTCCCAGATCGGGGCACGAACCCGTGTCCCCTGCATCGGCAGGCAGACTCTCAACCACTGTGCCACCAGGGAAGCCCTATAGCATCAATTCTTAACCAAGTTTCCCTAACACTGACTACACCTTTTCAAATAGTGCCTGTTTTAAGAGTCTCCACCATTAGCTCACTGGGGTGGGCCATCTGTGTCCTGCCGGGACCCTGACTGACTCACCACAGCGGCCTCTGAGCACAGCCCGGGGGACCATATGCAGCAGCACGGGGTGGGCCTTTCATCCACAGGGCTGCGAGGTGGCGACTCCACCTCCAGGCACCAAGGCTGGGTTTCAGACAGGAGGAAAGGGCAAAAGGCACCAGACAGCTCTTTGCCAGGAAAACAGTAGCTTTCTAGGAAGTCACGGCCAGCCAGCTTCTGCTCACATGCCGCTCTAGCTTCAGGACCTCTGAGGAGGTGAGTATTTTTAACTGGACAGTTGCCACCTCAAATGACAGAGTGTTTCTATTTGAAGGGAAGAAGCAGAGAGGTTATTAAGTTGTACCAGGCTACCAGTGTTTGAAACAGCATATAACTCATTTGGACTTTTTGAAAAAAGTTACCGATTGCTTACTGTTACAATTTCTTTCTCTTGTTTATACCTTGGGGTGTCTTCATGCAACAACAATAATAATCACTTCCATGTTCTGAGCCCTTACTGAGTGCATTACATGCATGAGGTCTTTTAACCCTCACAAGAAGCTTCCTCACCTTACAGATGAGGAAACTGAAGGTGAGATTTTCAGGAATGTGTAAGTGTAACATCTGAGCTAACACCTAGGTCTGTCGGTCTGTCTCCAGAGCCCAAGCTGGTAGCCACTACACTTAGGGTGCCCCTTATATCCTACATCTCTTTCTATTCTCATTTCTTCCCCAGGGGAGAATCTGTGCATCCAATTTGGAAATATAGGTCATAGACAGTAAGCCTCTTGCAGCTCAGCACATGGCCCAGCAGAAATAAAGGAGGGGCTTCTCTGGTGGTACAGTGGTTAAGAATCCTCCTGCCAATGAATGGGACACGGGTTTGAGCCCTGGGCTGGGAAGATCCCACATGCCTTGGAGCAACTAAGCCCGCAAACCACAACTGCTAAGCCCGCAAGCCATAACTGCTGAGCCCGCATGCTGCAACTACTGAAGCCCGCGAGCCTAGAGCCTGTGCTCTGAAACAAGAGAAGCCACCGAAATGAGAAGCCCACACCGCAATGAAAGTAGCCCCTGCTCGCCACAACTGGAGAAAGCCAACTCGCAGCAACAAAGACCCAACGCAGCCAAAAAAAAAAGACTAGTGCCACTGAAGAACTGCATTTTATTTATTTATTTATTTATTTTTAAACAAACAATTTTTTAAAAAAATTTTATTTTATTTATTTTTTATTTTTGGTTGCACTGGGTCTCAGTTGTAGCAGGCAGGCTCCTTAGTTGCGGCTTGCTGGCTCCTTAGTTGCGGTTCACTGGCTCCTTTAGTTGTGGCACGTGTGCTCCTTAGTTGAGGCTGGTGGGCTCCTTAGTTGTGGCATGCAAACTCTTAGTTGTGGCATGCATGTGAGATCTAGTTCCCTGACCAGGGATCGAACCCACGTCCTCTGCATTGGAAGGCAGATTCTTAACCACTGCGCCACCAGGGAAGTCCCGAGGAACCAAATTTTAAATTTTACTTAGTTTTAATCAATTTAAATTGAAAAACTGATTCACGATTCAGTTATTGGAAAATTTTGAAGTATGTTGGAGCAACCTGAATATGTGAATCTATTTTTTTTTTTTTTTTGCGGTACGCGGGCCTCTCAGTGTTGTGGCCTCTCCCCTTGTGGAACACAGGCTCCGGACGCACAGGGTCAGCGGCCATGGCTCACGGGCCCAGCCGCTCCGCGGCACATGGGATCTTCCCGGACCGGGGCATGAACCCGTGTCCCCTGCATCGGCAGGCGGACTCTCAACCACTGCGCCACCAGGGAAGCCCGTGAATCTATTTTTTAAACTGTACATTTTATCAAATCTAAATACATATCAATTGTTTCTGATGAAGTTTAGTTTGGGAATTGAGATGTGTTGCAGGTGTAAAATACACACCAGATTTCAAAGGCTTCATACAAAACAAAAAGTGTAAAATGTCTTGTTAGTAAGTTTTAACTAATTACATGTTGAAATAATGTTTTTGTATATATTATGTTAAGTAAAATTTATCATTAAAATTAATTTTACCTCTTTGTACTTTTCTTAAAGTGACTACTAGAAAATTTTCGATGACAATGTGGCTTGCATTATATTTCTATTGGGCAATACCACTTTAGAAGGTGGCAGTGAGCAGAGGCAGACTCATTTCTTTATAGGAATGAGGGAGAGAGGCCATTGCTAAATAAATTCCATGATCCCAGGCAAAGTGCTGGCACCATTTCCTGGATTTCTGAGAATCAATGGCAGGAACACAGAACAGCACAGAGCTGGGTGGGGTTGATTCACTGCCTGATTCCTTCCCATGTTCAGTCACAAAACGCAACATCTTGAAATTTCCGTCACTATCATTGCCTTGGTCGAAGGGAGACCACAGTTTTTATCTGGGCTTTGATTTGGGGACAACAGCATTTTAATGACTAGGGCATTTTAGGAGAAGCTAGTGGCCAGGAAAGATATTCTTAAAATCAGTATGAACTTAATGTTTTCACTTCTGCCCTCTCAAAATTTACCTTAGACCCAATGTGTGGTGGAAACTCACCCTCCAAGCATCTGCTTTTCTCCAGTTTGGAATGTTTTCCTCCAGAGCAGCCTTGTTTTTGAAATGATTTGCAGGCTGCCGGAGGAGGCTGCGAGAGGAAGTCTGACCCGCCAAGCCCATCTGGAAGTGGTTTCAGGGGCCACATCACTCAGCCAGCACAACGCCTAGATTCCCAGCTGCCTGGAACAGGGGTGGAAGAAACCCGAGCTGCTCCAGAGTCTGCACAAGCAAGGGAGGTGCAGTGGGGGAGGAAGACTGTCTTGGAAACGGAATATTGGCCTTGAGGCTCTCCAGCCCTTTGAGATTTCCAGTTGGGATCGTAGAAGCAGCTGAAGCAGCGTGAAGGGCAGCATCCCAGGGCCAGCCACCATTTGAATGCTCTGCCCTACAGCTCTTCTGGACGGAGGAGCCCTGCCCTCACCACCCACCAGGTAAACAGACATTTACAGCAGGGTGACGGCCTTTCTATTTCACCCTGGCCTGCTGGCAGCTGTCCTTTATTTTGCTGTAGATGCAAGAAAGTAAATCAGAGGTGGACTGTCCCACGCAAACCACCTTCAGGCGCTCCAGCTGTTTGTAGCATGCTAGCGGCATCTTCTTCTTCTTTTTTTTTTTGCCATTGCTGCAAATCCAAAATATTCAATGTGCAAGTTTTTCACATCCTGGACTGCTTTTCCAGACCTGGGTTTATGTCCGTCCCCCTACCCCCAAATAGTGTGATTTACTTACTATTTTCATCATATTTTAAGTGTGGAAATCATCTGTTAGCTAGGACTGTATAAATGCTAGCATTTAACGCTGGTATGTTTCTGAGCCACAAAAGATTTAATTGAGCTGTGATTCATGTTTTCAGAATCTGTCCTAGGAAGCTATTCTGAGGGCCCCAGTCCCACCGCAAAGAACTGGCAGTTGTATGAAATCTAAATGAGGCTTATTGTAAATATGGTAGTCATAACGGGTTGAAAATGCTTTTTAACTTTCAAAAAAATGTCTTCTTTTGTTCACTTTATGAGCAAGCGTAATACTTTGGCCAAGCCTGATATATAATTTATGACATAAGTTAAGAAGGGATAGTTAATAAAAGAGTAAGAAGAGAGAGAGGAAGAAAATATGATATCCAAACATCTGAATGTGCTGTGGAAAAAAGTCAGTCCTCTAGCTGTTTGGCCCGTGCAGCCAAATATCCAAAGGGACATTGGTTTGTTTTGTCTTTTCCTCTGAATGTTTTGGTGTCGCACTTGTATACAGTATCCTTTGCGTGCTGCATAGTGGAATTCCAGGCTTCCATCTAACTCAGTAGAGCAGTGCAGGGCCGTGCTGGGAACATGGGCTCTGGGGTCCGACTCACAGAGTCTGTGCGCTGCCACTTATAAGCTTTATAAACTTTGACTCTGGGTGACTCTATCTCTTCATCTGTAAAATGGGAATTAAGTGACATCATGTGTCTAAAGGACATAATGCAGGATCTGCAGAGTAGTGAGGCCTCAGGGGAGGTCAGCTTCTCTGGTGGTGCTGACGATGACAACGGTGACGGTGAAGGTGACCACACACCCTGCACTGGGCCACAGCCCTGCTTTTGACACATTGTTCCCTCCCATAGTCCAGTCGTCCAGTGTTCCTCACATCTGTCCAAGTTGTCTCTCCAGGGTTCTGCTTCCTTCCTTCTTCTCTTCAAACACCTCTCCTTTTATTCCACTCTGGCTCTCTTTAGTTCTCCTGCTTCTTCCCTTGCTGAGAGAAAGACATGCTCAGCAAGCCACAGCCCTCACCATTTTCATTCCTAGTTCCCAGGGGGCATGATTCTAAAGATTTCTTTTATTTCAGCGTCTGCCAAAGAATGTTCCAAAGAAGATAGTCCCGTGGGGAAAATACGTTCTGTGAGCCATATCCCCCTCTCAGCACTCTCAAGGCATGATGGCATTTTAAAGGTCCTGAGAAGTCCCGCAGAACAGGGGTCTCCAACCCTCGGGGCTCAGACTGGTACCGCTCCGCGGCTGTTACGAACCGGGCTGCACAGCAGGCGGTGAGCAGCGGGCGAGCTCAAGCAAAGCTTCATCTACCGCCCCTCACCACCCCCCATCGCTCGCATTACCGCCTGAACCGTCCCCCCCGCAGCCTTCCCCCCACCGTCTGTGGAAAAACTGTCTTCCACCAAACTGGTCCCTGGTGCCAAAAAGGTTGGGGACCGCTGCTGCAGATGAGAAATCTGCTTAAGTTTGTTTTTTAACACTGTGATTCCCAGTTGACACAGAGCCATTTTATCACATCATATAGATTAACATCGGCACTCTGCAATATCCTATTCTTTTTTAAAATTTATTTATTTTTTGGCCGTGGCATGTGGGATCTTAGTTCCCCGACCAGGGATCAAACCCGCACCCCCTGCAGTAGAAGCGGAGTCTTAACCACCGGACCGCCAGGGAAGTCCCTACAATATCCTATCCTGACCACATGTGTTTTCACCCTGGTTCCTCTCATGGACATTCTACTTCATACCTTTCCTGGCGAACACCCAAGGGGACATCTTGTTCTCCCTTCTCTGGTTAAGGACAGATGATTGATCACGCATGCCATATTGATATGTAGAAAGTCTGGCCTAAGGTGGGCAGCAGGGATCAGCAAACATTCCCTGCAAAGGGCCAGGTAGGTGGCTCTGCAGGCCAGATGGTCTCCATCATGACGACTCAGTTATGCGGAAGTAGTGTGGAAATGGCCATGGAAAAAACATCAAACAGCACCATCAAAGAATAAGCCTGGCTATGTTCCCACAAAACTTTATTTTTAAAAAACGGTGATGGGCAGGATCTGGCTGTAGTTTGTCAGCACCTGGTCTAAAGCCATGTTGTGAAAGAATGCCTCAATCCATCACAGGAGAAAGCAGGATGGGTCGTCCGCAAACTGAAGACGTCCCCACCCTGCTTATTTTGGTGGATCAGGAGTAAGCCTTTGATGTTCCAGCAAAAAGTAAAAAGACCAGAGGTGTTTTGTTGGAGGCCAAATTCCTAAGTCCTGGTTTTGTCCTTCTTTCTCTTTTCTTCAAGTGAACCCATGCTCCTGTCCTGTTCATAACTCTGTAGTCTGCCTGGTTTAAGTTGAAGAGCTCTATTAAATGTATTTTATGCCCATGTGAACTTCAGGGTCAAGTCTTAGAGAATACCGTGAAATCACAGAGCTTCTTGGCAGGTCTCTTAACCTCCCTGAACTTCAGTTTCCTCATCAGTAAACTGAGAAGAATAACCTTGTAGGGTTGTTGTGAGAATCAAATTAATTAATATACATATAAAGGTCTTAGAACAATGCCTCGCTAATAGAAATTACTATGTGTCTCCTTATCATTGTAATAAATTATTTAATTTAACCTGCAAAACAATCCCATTTTACAGACTGGGTTTTGTAAGTTGCCCAAGATTACACAGTAAGAAATGAGGCAGAACCAGGATTCAAAGTCAGCTCTGTCTAATGACAAAACCCATATTTCCACTCAGGTACATGCCCTGCCAGATTTAAGTCATTCAAAAATACATTTTAGGAGCCCCTCTTTTATATTCCTTTTTGATTCCCAGGTCCTTTCCTATTACCTCCTTACCTGAACATGGCAGACATGATTAATCAATCACAGTGCCCTTCCTTCCTTCCTTCCTTCTTTCCTTCTTTCTTTCACTGAGTCTTGTGATGGCTTTAGACGCCTCAATTTGTCAGTCCTGAAAGCTCCTATCAACTGGTTAGAGTTGGCATGTAAAATAAAACTTATGGGCTCTGATTTTTGGAATATTTTTCTGGAGTCCCTCCCACTTTTGCCTTTCTTCCAAGGCAGAGCTAATCCCCTTAGCCACTGCCAGGTCTTAAGACATTCTTTCCAGGTTTGACAACAGGCCCAAACTCTTCGACATTTGGTAAAACAACTCCCCATGCAAGATCTTCTGGGACCTGTTTTTAAACCTAATAGACATTTCTCTGGTCCAGATCAATTCCCTAAGCTCTCCTTTTTCTTCCTAGTCACAGGCCCTAGGACCTTTCCCCTTTGAAGCTCCAACCATCCAGGGCCTTACCTAGGGATTTCCTCTTTCCAACACTGTGAGATGACTCCCCAGCTGCATCTTTCTTGCTGTCCTGAAGACAGGCCTATGGGCCCTTAATGCTGAAGGCGCGACTCTTTGTTACTACAGGGAAACTACAACACAGAAGTCACTCAGCTTAGGAAAGCTTACAGAGGCTCAGGGGACATGGTTCTGGGGCTCCTTGTTGTGATGGTAAGAGAAAGGCCAATAAGAAGACCTGAGCCCTCCCCTTTTATTTTAAAAAATTATTTATTTGTTTATTTAGTTTTGGCTGTGTTGGGTCTTTGTTGCTGTGTGCAGGCTTTCTCTAGTTGCGGTGAGCGGGGGCTACTCTTCGTTGCGGTGCGCGGGCTTCTCATGTCGTGGCTTCTCTTGTTGCGGAGCATGGGCTCTAGATACACGGGCTTCAGTAATTGTGGCACGTGGGCTCAGTAGTTGTGGCTCACGGGGTCTAGAGCACAGGATGAGTAGTTGTGGCGCATGGGCTGTTCCATGGCATGTGGGATCTTCCCGGACTAGGGCTCGAACCCGTGTCCCTTGCATTGGCAGGCGGATTGTTAACCACTGAGCCACCAGGGAAGCCCCTGCTTTTATTCTTGTAGTGGGACCATCAACCTGGCTTTACCCTCCTTCTGGCTTTTTCCTTAGTGAAGGTATGCAGACCCTTTTCTTCCTGGGATTGAAGAACAGAACAACAAGAGCCCTTTCTTCCTCTCTCCTATTTCTCACTCATTCATTCCACACACATTTCTTGAGGCACACAGAGGTAGGTCGGCCACAGTCCCTGTCCTCTGTCATCTCATGGTCTAGTGGAGGAGACAGGCACACCCATGATATTAGAACACAGTGTTCTGAGTGCAGGGATAGGCATAGGAATGGAGATTAGGGGAGCACCCAGGCAGGGTAATCAGGTAAGGCTTCCTGAAGGAGGAGGAGGAGTCTTTAAAGCACAAGTAGCAATTTACTGGGGAAAGAGGAGGGGAAAGGGCATTCCAGGCAGAGGGGACTGAATGAACCAAAGTTCACTGACAAGAAAAACATAGAGGGCTTCCCTGGTGGTGCAGTGGTTAAGAATCCACCTGCCAATGCAGGGGACACGGGTTCGAGCCCTGGTCCGGGAAGATCCCACATGCCGCTGAGCAAGTAAGCCCGTGTGCTACAACTACTGAGCCTGCGCTCTAGAGCCCGCGAGCCACAACTACTGAGCCCACGTGCCACAACTACTGAAGCCTGCACGCCCAGAGCCCATGCTCCGCAACAAGAGAAGCCACCGCAGTGAGAAGCCCGAGCACCACAACGAAGAGTAGCCCCCGCTCGCCACAACCAGGGAAAGCCCGCGCACAGCAACAAAGACCCAATGCAGCCAAAAATAA